AAATAAGTGTTTTAATTAATTAAAGAGCCATTAAGTTTTATTTATTCTCCATGAAGACACTTGCACACTTTAAGCAAAGAGCCTGTAAATCTTTTTTCATAATCTAAACAAATTGAGGTCCTTCAATTGCTTTCTCTAGATGATCTTTTTCCAGTGATAGGAGAAACAAAATTGAATATGTAAAGCAAAACACTCACAGTTCTTGGAAACAGCTGAACCTGAAACTGAATGCAGGTAAACAATGTTTATTATATCAGTAGAAACTGAGGAATCTTAGAGTCCTATAGTATCAGGCTCTTCGTTTGCCCTTAAGAGCACTCAGTGCAAAAATCATGAATATTCCCAGCAATTCAGGATGCTGGTTTTACAAAAATAACTTTTTTTTTTCTTTGTAAAGCTCAAACATTCCCAAAAGCTTTGCAACATGCACTTCAAGTCCATTATCAAAACTACACTGTGGGCTCCTGGAGAAAGACTGTGGTTTACAGACATATAACAAGGGAGTTGCAATAAAGTCCTACCACTTCGTTTTCACTCCTGGCTGCACTAAATACCTGGATGAAATCAACCGCAAACAAAGTTTCTTGCATTGTTTCCAGCCTCAGCCTTTACTTACATGGTTAGCAGCACCTCAGCTCTTCACAGCTCATTAGCAGTAATGCTTTATTCACTGGCGATCTTGCACTAAACATCAGGAGGAAGACCTTTATCCTGCATTCAGATCTTTTAGGAAGTCTTGGCTCTGTGCTCTCAACAAGAATGGTAGACTCAGGTTCCTCTATTCCTCCAGCCATTAACAATTACAGACCTGCATAATAGGAACAGCCTGTGAAAATCAGCACTCTTTAGAGGTCTGAGCATCTCCAGCTCACCACAATTTTTCAAAATGGCAAGATTTGGCAAGAAGAAGGAACAAGACTGTTCAGTATGGCCCTATTCTGCTCCAGCCTTTGGATGGTCACCTTTGGATGGTCACCTTTGGATACTCAAGAAGATCATTGGACCCACACTGCCATGAAGCGCTACCTTATGAAGGCCAAGAAGTTGCAGAGGTATGCTCACAATTTTATCTGTATTGTATGCGTGCATATGGAATTGGGTCACCTTCTGAAACATACACTTCCTCTCAGTTTCATGTTAACCATTGACACACACAGCTATAGCAGTCTCTGTGTTCTATTTCAGAGGTAGTAAGGAAAACAAAAACACACAGAAGGAAACAAAAACACTCCCAGAAAACTCTTTGTTACTCAGGTGACACTGACCTGGATTCTTGGTCTTGAGAGGCTGATTCATGAATTCAGGATCTCACTGTAATAACGGAGACTGACCTTCACCCAGATTTTGCTTTGCTACTGACTCCATAAAGGGCGCATTTAAAGCCAATGCATCAGTAAATTTGACTCTGTGTAGAACAGGCACTTCTCCACTGGGAGCTAGACAAACAGTAGAAAATTATTTTGCACAGGAGACTCAACTCTCATCTTATCAACAGCTTCTAGTTGTTAAAAATACCAGTAGTTGTCGCCAACAGACATTTGAAAACCTGCTTTACTTGCTGCAGTGCCTAAACAATTATTCCTGATTTGGATGTTTCAAAGCCCTTTATTTGTGGTCTTCCACTTCCTTTTATAAAATTTTGTTTGGTTTGCTCTCCAACTCCATGGCTGGAAACTCCATTAGAACACCTGACAGCCTGAAAAATATTGACTTTTTATTCGCCCAACTGCTCCAAGGAAAACATTTCTGTTTGCCTTTAAATCTGGCATCATTTCAACCCCCTTGTTTACCTCTGAAACTAAGTGCCCTCAGAAAGCCCAGCAACCCGGCTTCAAGCTTGTTTACAGCAGAGGCTCTAGTAACCAAAATAGAGGTGGCAGAGACACCACACCAGTCTGTGCCATCCTGCCATGCAGCCTTAGGGGTACCATTCCATAGACAGTTTGAGAAACAGCACAGTTAAGAGCCCTGTTTTGTTTATAGCCTCTGTATACAACATCTTCTTCAGACTAAATGGGCACAAAAAGCTTGAAGTCTAATACCATTTAACAGCTATTAGTCACCTATCCCTGTTATGGTTTTATGAAACGTCTTCCTATTTTTATTCATCTCAACTCTACAAAAATGCATCGAAACACTAGTAAAAGACACACTAAAAAAGTGATCAGATAGATCTGTCACATGGATAAAACTGAGAAGAAATATAGGAAAAATACAAGAAAATGTTTATGTTTTAATATTCAGTTATTTTAACTCTAAGTAATGCAAATGCCCTGCTTTTTCTCAAGCAAGCACTTAAGACAATTATCTGAAGTATTGATGTGCAACATCTCATTTTCATCTGAATAAATAAGGAGTTGCTTCCCCTCCACAACACTGCCAACAGGAGGGAATAGTTTCCCATCTAGAAATAGTGTGTTTTACTAAATCTAGCCAAACAGTGAGAATATTTTGAGGTCGCCTACCCTTTACTTCCTGTCATTGACCAAATTCCACTGACACAAACAAACGCATGTAAGGGTTTTCAAGCTGCAAACACTCAATCGTACTACAGGCAAATATCTTGGCAGTTCCCAGTTTTACTTCTCTTAATGTAAGTATGCACTTAATTTGTGCATTTCTTGTAGGCACAGTGTAAAGGGACACAGGAGTTGTATAAAATACGTGATACATGTCAGCTAGCCCAGTTCAAAGTCCAGAGCTGGTATGGTATGCTGCCTTTGTGACACAGTTTGGACACATTCTATTAGGCTGGGCTCATGAACAGGTAAATACTGCAAAGAGGTTTTAAAACACATGGGTGAGGCTAAACAACAGCTTACTCACACCTGAGTGTGAGGACTGAAGAGGTCAGTAAGTACGCTGCCAAACAAGGTTAGCAAAAGAGCCTTGATGCTTAAAATTTGTCTGTATCTCTGCATAAAGTTTGTAACAAGACCCCAAACGTAATTTGATGAAATCAACTAAGACTGCACCTGTTATGTATTTCCTTGGCCTCTAATTCACTCTGTTTAATAAACATTTTGAAGGAAATATAATAAAGTAATTCATAAAGGACACTTCCCCCCTCCACAGGATCAACTGTCACATGCACATTTACAAAGCTGAATTAGTGTAACAACAACAACAAAAAAAAAAGATGGCCTTGAATTGAACTTGACACATAACATGTGAATAGCTGCAAGAAGTCTTACCTGGCTCACCCGGAATTATTTTTTTTCCCTCTTTTACAACCCCGTGTTTTCCCACACCTGCTACATTCCATAAATCAAGGTGAATCAGAGGCGTGTCACTTTATTTAGAGTATTGTACCACATCTTTAGAACCACTCCACAGCTGGCATGCACAGGTAGCACAACCTGCCAAGCTCATACGTATGTGAAACCCATTAAACAAGCTCAAACCTATGCAGTGTTCAGAATAAACACGCTACCAGGATACACGGAATGAAATCCAGATCCTCTACTTAGTCATGAAGCTATAGACATGTCTTTTTCTCAGTTTTCATGATGAAATTTAAAATGGAGGGATGTTCTCTGCTCTGTGATATTAAAGGACACATTTTCTCTATGTACATACAGCTGAATTCATTGTTATTCAGCACCAGTGACTTAACAGGTTTTGCAGAATTACTAATCCCTTCTCATAACAAAAAGGAAAACCAAAGGAATGTAAACCATTTGCCTTAATTTATGAAGCAAACCTACACTGGGACCCAAATCAGACCTCTACCCATCCTGCCACACACTGCCTTTCTAGAAGGCAGCACTGACATTCAGAGTGCTTACACTCACCAACACATTTCCTGCATGTATTCTAAGTTTTAGGGTAAACCAGTGTGGTCACAAGAGAGCACAAAAAGGTCATATGCAGGAAAGAGTAAGAACAAACAGCTTTCAAAGCTGTGTGGCCGAAAGGGAGTAGGAGTCACAGAGAACAGGATATTTGTAATCATGTTGACAATCACCATTGCCTCCTGAAGGCTGCAGCCTGGGGCTGCTGCAACACCTGCAGAGGAGGCAAGTTTCAAGAATCCCAGGGAAATACAGGACAGTGCCCAGTTACACATCCTGTCACAGCCTTGCCTTGCACCATGGCATCCTTCTGCAGCCATGGGGCACCCCAGTAAATAGCCCATACCCCAAGCGAGCTCTGACCTCTCACCAGCAGACCTCACTGTCCCACCCCCATCCCAGCCCAGGGGGGCTCACACACCTCTCATAAGAACCTGTGCTCCCTTGCAACCCACCGCATCTCCCTGCTTGTCCAAGCTCCACAGCTCCCCTCAGCCCTGCTCCCCTCAGCTCACCATGGCCCTGCTCCTTTCAGCCAGCCATGGCTCCCCACAGCGCCCTGCACCTCAGCCCCCCTCACCACAACTCACCTCCCCTCAGCCCCCCCATGGCTCCCTACAGCTCCCCACAGCCCTCCCTCACCTCAACTCACATCCCTGCAGCTCCTCTAGCCTCCCCACACCCTTCTCACCTCAGCTCCCCACAGCCCTCCCTCACCTCCTCTCCCCTGGATCCCCCATAGCTCAGTTTCCCCTCACCTCAGCTCCCCATAGCCCTCCCTCACCTTTCCCCAGCTCCCCTCTCCTCAGTCCCCGGGGCTTCCCTCCAGCTCTCTCCTCAACTCAGCTCCCCACAGCCCTTCCTCACCTCCTCTCCCCTCGATCCCTCACAGCTCCGCTCAGTTTCCCCTCACCTCAGCTCCCCACAGCCCTTCCTGACCTCCCCTCAGTCCCCTATGGCTCCCTCCAGCTCTCCCCACAGCTCTCCCTCACCTCCGCTCCCTTCAATCCCCCACCTCTCCCCTCGATCCCTCACAGCTCCGCTCAGTTTCCCCTCACCTCAGCTCCCCACAGCCCTTCCTGACCTCCCCTCAGTCCCCTATGGCTCCCTCCAGCTCTCCCCACAGCTCTCCCTCACCTCCGCTCCCTTCAATCCCCCACAGCTCCCCTCAGTTTCCCCTCACCTCAGCTCCCCAGCGACCCCTCTCGCGGGAACCCCCCCACCCTCCTCGGGACTCGTACCTCCACCGCTAAGGTTTTTAGGTGAGGGGAGAAGGTGTCGGGGGGGCGGGTCGGGCCGGCTGACGGAATCTCCCCGGCCGAGCAGCGCAGCCGGGCGCTGGGTTTTCCCCCCTCAGGCGCTGAGGGAGCCGGGCCCCGGAGAAGTTTGTGAGGAGGAGGAGGCGGCATCTCGCTGTGAGGTTTGAAGGGCGGGATAAGGCATTTCTGACCTGAACCGAGCCGCTTGGGGGCTGAGGTGGTCGTGATATACAAAAATACACGGGTTTGGCATCTTTAGAGCATTTCAAAGCTAACGTTGTGGTCTTAGGTCTTACTGCTTACTTACTCACTACTTACTTACTATTTACTTACTTATTTCTTACAATGAAAAGCTCTGGTTCTGCTTTTTGAAGCACCTGACGATGTGAAACCGGCGTTTCTCTATTCCATTTCTCACCTCTTCTCTTTTCTTCTCTATTTTTCCCCCCTCTTTAAAGGGGCTGTGTGTTACAAGCCCTCTGTATCGGGAGATGCCTTAACGCTGCTGTTGACCATGCTTTCTTCTGCCATTTGTATCTTCTAAAGAAATTTCAACCGTTGGGGGTGGGGTGGCGATGATGGTGATTTCCC